CATTATCACCATCATCACCATCACCACCACCATTATCACCATCATCATCACCATCCTCATCATTGGTGAATACTCATTTCAATACTCCATTTTATAGTTCCGTTCAGTCTCCACGCATAATAGTTCCAAGCCGARGTTGGAGTTGTCACACATGATAAAAAGTATAGTTTTGCTGTGTGCAGAAACGCCAACCTCGACTTGGAACTATTATTTGTGGTCACTGCAGGGAACTGTAAAATTCATGCTCATTTTCGTGCATCTATTTAGTTACCTTTAAAAAATTTATATCACTAAAATTTAAAACCAATTTAAGGAGAATTTCAAGTTTAACGAGAACGTGTAATAACAGTGACAACGAACAACGACTATCACTAAATTTTATGTCAAGGAAATTTCCTATAATAATAACTTTAGAAGTCAAAACTCTCAAAATCACGAAGATAGATTAATAAACTTATTATTCTTCCTTTTTGGACAAAAAAATGCTCGCTGTGTTTGCTAAAAACCGCAAAAAACAAAGCTCTTTCTCACCTTGTTTCAGTTCTTCTGCGGTCGCCATTTTGAATCTTGGCGCTTCGCTCCAGTCTTTCTCACTCTAACAAGAACGCCTGGCAGAAATTGCCATCAGCTGAATCTTTCACGTATTGTTCTTATACGAAATTTTCCAGATTTCACGTTTTTGGCACTTAAACATTTTTGATTGCTTTAGGTGTAATGTTTTAGGTAATATTTGTTACTGTGTGTTTGGGTTAGTGTATTCTGAAAAAAATCGCGGGCGATTTTGGTGTCTGATACTGAATGTTAAAAAGATGGCAAAGAAATTACAAAATGGCAGACTTTCACTTGCGTACCAGGAACTGACTGTGTTTCCAACTCAGCTGATAGAACGACACAGAACAGAGGTCAGGGAACTAGACTTAAGCCATAACAAGTTGGTGTATCCTTTGGTTTTCATAGTACAGCAACTTGGCGCTTTTCAAACCGGAAGTGATCTTTATTTAGATGATATATTTATATGTAATTTTTGGAAATGTTGAACATTTGGTGGCAAATCGCATTTCCAAGGGTCTCAAATTCAAACATTCCACCTTGTTGCCCCTCTATTACCTTATGCATATTTATAAGATGTGTTGTAAATAATCTCACTTTCTTTATTGGTTGGGGTTGTGAGTTTTATACAAACACAAAGTGTGTATTAATGCCTTGTATGCTTCTTCTAATACTCCTCTCAATCAATGTTTTCCCAATCCCCAAATGCTTTTTAACTGCACACAGCACGCACAGGACTTAACAGATTTTCCTTAATGCCATGCATTCACCAGTGATATGAAATTTCTGCAAGAGTTTGAGAACCTCAAGACCCTTGTTCTTGACAACAATAGCATCACTTCACGGGTTCAATTTACTCCAGTCAAACAACTGGAAACACTCTGGGTTAACCACAACAACATCACCAACCTCAGTGTGTTCATTGAAAGTGTATCAAAGAATTTCCCAAACCTGAAGTATTTCAGCATGATGCATAATAATGCCGCACCAAGCTATTTTAATGGGGGTACATACCAACAGTATAAGGATTACAGGTAAGCTTTTCACCTATTGAAGACTCAGACTAGAAGTATGATATTGAATGGAATGGCTGCCCCCCCTCCCCCCTGTTGATTATGCCACTGGTGCATATCAAGGAACTCAAGAAGAGTGGAATAGTGGAAGATGTTAATTGGCCGTCTCACCTCCAGGATCTCTGATTTGCTTCCTGGACTCTGCATAATGTGAATAGAGTCTGTTAGATTAGTTCCTTGATTTGAGGGTTTTTCACCACATTCTCCAGTTTTCCTCCCTCTGAAAAACCCAACATGCTAACTTCTAATTCAATCTGCGAGTTGGCACTGCCCTGTTGACTCAAGGGCGGGCAGATTCAGGAGTGGTAAAAGGAGTGACTAGTCACCCCCCTTTTGCTCAAATTTCTCAGTATATCATTAGTAACAGTCTTCTCCCTTTTTCTCGAATTCCTGGTAAAACTTTTATAATAGTCATCCCCTTTTAAGATTCCTATGGATCACCCCTGTCACTCTAATTAGCCCAGTACTAGCTCTCAAGTCCTTGATCAACAGATGCGAAAAACTATCCTTGTCCTATAGGTTTTATGTTATCAGCCATTTGCCCAACCTGCTAGTTGTTGATGACACAGCAATAACAGAAGAAGAAAGAGAAGAAGCACGGAAATTTTATGGCACTAGAAGATATTCTATTAAATCTACAGCAAAGAAAAAGAAAAGATAATAATCGTTTCAAAAATATATATATGTAATTTTACTGAAATGATTTCTTTTTTTTTTTTTTGACAAACTTTTATTGTTGCCTTATGGGAAATCTGAACTGAAATGCTCCAAAATCAAATATCTCAATAGTACCTGAAATGCCCAAACATTAGACATTTAAGTTATATCGCAGAAATGAATGCAGAAAATTCTGAAATATAGTGCAATTCGTTTCCTTGCCCACTGCTATCACAACAGGGGTTGTCTTCACCGTTTGCAACAAGTCTTCACCATTTGCATTGCTATGCCACCACCACAGACAAAAATTGCAACGTGCACTTTGCAATAGACGGCTGTCAATCAAATACCTTGACATCAATCACATGCGTGTGATTCAAAAGGCGCCAAAACTGGGGGTGGCCACGTTACAATGCAAACGCCGGTAAAAAGAATACATATTGGATTAAAATGACAATAAATTGGTCTTCTTAAAAATTCTTAAAAATTAAATATTTGCAGGAATATTACTGTAAGAGAAATATTTTTATAACTGAGAAGAAAATAAATTTTATTGAAATTATTACTACTTGTAAATTAAACAGAATTTAATGTCAATAAAACAATTATTATTACTATTGAGTGAGGATCTGTTCTGTCAGTGTTACTGGTTAAAAAGAAATAATACACAAGATTTCACTTTGATTTTGATGTTTTCCCATTTCAAATCTCTTGAGAATTTTTTCTGATTACTTATGACAAAGAAAGAAATAATACTCAAGGGAATGACACATGGTCTGAAATGAGAAAACATTGCACCATAGCTGAAAAGCATTCCTAGTAAAGAAAGAAATAATACTCAAGGAATGGCATATGGTATGAAATGAGAAAACATTGCACCATTATAGCTGAAAAGCTTTCCTAATAAAGAAAGAAATAATACTCAAGGGAATAACATGGTCTAAAATGCAAAAACATTGCATCATTGATACTGATTTACTTTTACTGATAGTGCTCTAAAATGTGGAGTAAAACATACAGCCTGTTTTATCACTCATTGAAAATTTTAAATTTATGTACATATATTTATTTATTTATATTTATTAAAAAGACAAGTTATTTTAATTTCAAATTAAAGGTTAATTCTCTGCTAGTTTAACTTCAGAAATTTACATTATTCATCATGGTGGATGGATATTTTGTGGCTTATCTATGGCGTAATATAATTTATACAGCACAGCTGACATAACAATACGAAAAAATACCAGCTTTACAATCTATAGAAGGAGTCACAATAGATATAACAAAAGAGCAGAACACCGGAGATAACCCTATTTTGTACACACATATTAACAAAAACTTGAATATTTTTTGAATAATAATAATAGTGATAATAAAAATAAATGATATTTTATTTATTCATTTTTATTATCATTATTATTATCTAATAATTATTTCAGTTTGAATATCTCTCTGAAATACTATACAAACTTCAATTAATGATATCTAATAATATTTAATATTATCTATATTGAGTATTTAAACTCTTGGCCATCTGCCATCAGTAGGATGACGTTCTTGTGATTTATCCAGACCAATCGAACAAGCTTGAGAAGTGCTGACGATAATTGAGTAGCTGTTTTTCTTGTTTTGTACGTTTTCACACATTTGAGAGAGCTGCTAAGCATTCCAAACAAACCTGACCCAGTCTGGAATATAAATTGAAAAAGGAGTTGAAATTTTCAATTTTTTTTTTCTGGCATGGTTAAACATTAGCCTGAGAAAACAGATGTCCTTTCACTACCCCATCCCCTCGCAAAAGTAAGTTTCACTGGGGAGCAGGGGAGTGAAAGAATATCTGCAACCCGCCACCCAGTTAGCTCAGTTGGTAAGAGCGTCGGTCTGCTATGCGGAAGGTTGTGGTTCAAGCCTCGGCCGGACCAACACTCAGGGTCTTAAAATAACTGAGGAGAAAGCACTGCCTTTATAATTAAATCTGCAAATGGTTAGACCTTCAAGTCTTCTCGGACAAGGATTTAAAACCGTAGTACTGTCTCCCATCCCTTCTTAACCTACAGTAAAATGGGGGACATAAAAGAACCTGTTGAATTATTCGTATAAGAGTAGGGGATTGTCTCCCAGTTCAACAGCCTATCCCAATCTGGAGGCATTAATACTAACTTACTAACAAATCACTCATGATTGTAAGCTGCACCGTTGCTACTAGCGCAGCAGCAGTAAGGGGGGCGCGCGACGCGCCGGCATACACCTAAATGAGGCCCGGGAATAACCCGCAGTGACGGGGCCCTACAGGGGGTCTGGCGCGGCCGGGTGGCATTGCAAATGGTCCCTTACTGCTGCTATGCCACCCGAGTCTAAAGATATCTAATAAATATATGATGCATGAGTGTAAGAAGTTCAACAATGGGTGGTGTGTAAGTTGTCTAAGTCCCAAGGTCGTCATACCTAAGCCAGAACCCTTTTGGTGTTGTGGTAACAAGATGCAAATAGAAGAAGATACCTCTGCGCAGTKWTACGAGTGTGGTAAGAATATTCGTCATGCCGTGCCAAATGCTACTAGAGAACAGTATTATGCCAACGGAGGTCGTACGAAGACCCCATASAAGAGAATAAAATACTTTAGGGAGTGGATGGGTTACATCCAAGGTTTACATCCTGTTTACTTGGATGACGAAGTGAAGAAGGAAATTATGTACCGTTTGAAAGAGCCAACCCCACAAAGCATGCGAAAGGTCTTAAAAGAGATGAAGTTAGGGAAACATTACAAGGCTATCCCTTATCTTTTGTCTGAGATGACGGGTAAGCGCATTCCTAATGTCCCGGATATGCAAAGGGCGGAGTGGTTGTTCTGTCGGTTGGACAAAGACATCCCTTATTACCCTGATACGATTTATGAGATATTCTACGAGATCAATCCTAACCACCCATTGTTAGAATGGATTCCTAGAAGATGAGATGCGTAGTTGAAATCCATTGGGGTTCTTCTCAAAGGAAATATCTACTGAGCGAGTTTTCTTTGTAGATCTTCCTTTGCCTCTTGGTAGATCTTCTTGCGAGATTCCTTGGAGAGGTCTTTTATGATGGTTTTTTTATTGCCCGACTTTAGTTCATCATATTTCCTTTCCTCTGCAAGGATCAGAGAGAACTCCACGTCGTCAATCTTACGGTYCCGCAAGGCCTGGGAAAYAAGGTCGGTGATGGTGTTGGCTTTTGCTCTTGCTATGGCTATATGTGTGTCGTGTTTGGATATCTTACCTGACAACTGCTTTATAATGCCTGTCATGACGGCAGAAACAATGCCACAGACGGCTCCAACGCCGGCTAAGGGAACGCCGATGACTACGCCAGGTCCAGTAAGGGAAGTAGCAACCCCAGTGCCTGTAAGAGCTACGGACATGGAACCCGAAGTTATAGCAATCTTGTGTAACACGTTGCGCGCTCTGGCATACTTCTTTCTAACGTTTTCATAATGTCTCGCTTGGCCTTCTAAGTAAGACAGGATTAGATTTGCCTTGTTGAGGCGAAAGTTACCTGCGTTAAGGTCTTCGGAAAGTTCAGGGTAGATAGGAGGTGCGGATGGTATAACGTCCATTATATAATAATGTACGACGCCTTTGGGAATGATATTCAAGAGCAACCATATCACGATAACCGGGATTATGCCAACTGGAGGGCCTTTAGGAAGATGTTTCCACACGCCGACCCTAGTAAGTTCGAAAGGCGACCCGATGGGATTTATTTCAATGGTTCCAGGATGTACAGCAACGCAGACTTGGAGCCCGTTCATAAAGCTCCAACGCCTGTTCATAAAGCTCCAACGCCTGTTTACAAAGCACCGACGCCCAACTTTCCAGACAACTTGTTGTTAACCACGGGAGATTATCCCTTTTACGACGCCGAAGGGGGCGTGAACGACTTTAAGACGATGGTAACGTTCTTGAAGATCTCAGTGGGCAAGCAATCGTTCGATGTAGTAGTAAGGAACATCTACGGGGAGACGATGTTGAAGCATACGTCGGGTAAAGAGGCCAGGGAATGGTTAGCAGGCCCYAACATGCGTTATTGGCCGCAGCAGTTGAACTTTGCTGTCTGGGCTGCCACTAAGGGTTGTGGTGTCGGTGCGGATATGTTACACATTCCAATAATGCGGTTTCATGTTGCCTTTACGGTACGAAGATTGTTAAAGGAACTCAATGTGCCCTTACCCGGAGACAAGGCATTTGATCCTTTGGATAACCGATACGACGCTGCAGGGTTAGAAAGGTTAATGAATGAGTTCAAGCCACAGCAAAGGGACTTTCGTTACAAAGAAGGTAAGACGCATGGGTTGGGYATTGTTTACGTTTGGGGTGCCGGTGGTGAGAGGCCAGCCGATTATGAACATCAAGAATATCCAAGTCATGAGTTGGAGTTTGGTGACATGGGCGGCGATAAGGGTAACAACACGTTCATTACCCGAATTCAGTCGAACTACCTCGGCACTTGGGATCCGTTCGTGTTAATGAAAGGAAAAGGTTTAAGGAACCTAGCTAGGATTAACCGTAGTATTGAAGCATTCGTGTATTGTATCTTAGGAGCGCAGGTAAACACCCGTAGTCCRATCGTTGGATCCCAAGGTGCTTCGCGTGAGACGCAGGAAGAGTTCCTGACCTTATTTGAGTCTGCAATAATAGAGAACGACATATCCAAGTCAGTACAGAGATACCAATTAGCGGTGCAGCAGTC